CACCTAATGGGTAGTATACACCCAGTGGATGGTAAACCTCCACCAACCCAGGTCAACGTGAACATCGGAATACCCCAACTCAACTGCATTGCAAAATCGCGAGCGCTCACCATGGGTAACGATATTTTCATCAACTATATATTGATATATAGATTCTGGAGAAACATATAATCGGAAGACTACAACTGACAACATTCATTTCTCAACTAGATTGCAAAAACCTCATATCCAAAGACCATGGCCATGGCAAAGTGTGAACAACACTCGGACTGGACTCGAGCAAAGGGTATAATCTAGGTAGAAATAATCTTGCTCAATAATGCGAAGGTATTCATAAGAAATACCTACACCAGTTTTCTTTTGGAAACGGAATTGAGAACAATGAGGTGGTGAAACATAGAGCAAGTATTGTAGCACAAGGGTTCATGCAGATACCCAACTATTCTCCGGAGGTGGAATCTCTTTCCGATAACTTATATCATTGATAGTACAAAATCATCTATCTCTGCAGTTGATAGATATAGTGATCACATATTCATATGGATCACTAGATTCAGACATAGATGGTTTCCATAGGAATCTCACTTCTGAATCGAAATGCAAAACGCAACATACATTGTGTAAAATCAGTAAGTCACCATATGGCTTATTATTGTCGGTACATTTGGTACAACCAACGTAGTGAGTTCCTTATTCACAAGGATTACTCCTACATTAATGATTACCCATGCATGTTAAGCATGTGATCATCTAAATGACGAAATTTGAGTTGAAGGATCAGGTTGAAACCTCGAGCACCATCACTCGTATATTATGGTACACTATGTTGTATATATCCAAAATATATTGGAGAAATTCATTGTGGACAAATCTTATGCATCCACAACTCGCATGGCTTCATTCTCTAGATGTAGAGAAAGAACCATCAAAACCATGAGTTGATGGGAGTGCGATATTGGGACATAAAGATCCATATCCTAGTGCCGTTGGACCCACCACATATAATTGATTGGGGATCAAGAATATCTTTCGGTATCTCCAAGGCATCAAACATCTTGTCTTAGTTTTTTAGTTTCAGAGAAATCTGGACTCCAACATCATCGGATACATCGATCAGATCCCTACCATGACAGGTCATAGACAAACTTTGTGTTCCTGCTAGGTGTGGTAGCCATCCCATGAAAGTCTTCGGAAACAAACCTCAATGGCTACATCCACCAACCATTATCTCAAAGATAATGTTGCTTGTGTTGCCCGGGTGCAAACAAGTTGCGTAATAAGCAATATTGCTATATTCCATATCTTGCAAGTCAAAACATGTGAATGATTTGTTCACCAAGTCTCTACCAACCTCAACATTACAGAAATATGTTCATGGAATTGATATTTGACGGCCTCGGAATTTGCAAGAATGAGGGAGAGTATCTTCCTGAATTGTTCTTGTTCAAAGCATCAATTATACTCTTTTTCCCTTCATGAGTTTACTCTACAGGTTCTCATAAAGGTTTTTAATGATGTAATATCAACACAAGATCATATGTCATACTTTCTATTTTCGCCACCGGGTTTTTTAACAAAGTGTATATGGCATATTTGTTGTCCTCAAAATTCTACGGGTTTCTCATATTGAGTTCAAAGAGGCAATAACTATTATATGTTGCACTATTCTCTCCTTATTTTTCCCACTGGGTTTGAAGGAGTTTTGGCAACATATCAAACACTATACTCCTCATATTTTTCCGACGGGGTTTTTGGAGGAGTTTGAAGGAGTTTTGGCAACATATCAAACATTATACTCCTCATATTTTTCCCACGGGGTTTTTGGAGGAGTCTTTTTCAAGATGATGATGCTACCTGGACAAGTATGGATTAGGGGGGGTGTTAAGATTAATTACAATGGTAATTAAGGGATTAATCACTGCTTGACAATCGGTGTGCAATTGCACTTTGCAACGGACGCATCTCTGGCAAGTGTCGCGTCTGTTGGGACGATATAAATAGTCCCTGTAACTATCAATCAATAAAGACAATCATTTGCTTTCACTTGATTACTAACGGTTGGGCCAAAGATAGTTTCGGTTTTTTTATCATTTATGCCACTAGTTGTGTCCCACTACTCAAAACTTACCGTCGAAATATATTACCTGCCTCCCTCAATCAGTTTGAACTTTTGGACGAGTTGGCTGGAGCATGAATTCAATATGGTATGCGAGCCAAGAGGTCTTTAAGTTTAAGACCGACTTTTGGATGAATTGGTTGTTGCATAAATTCAATAGTTACAACTGCTAAAAAACACCATCGTAGACGGGTTTTGAGCTGACAGTAATGGTGTTTAGTGACAATTTTTTGCATGCACCTAACAGAGCGATGGCATTTTTGGGCAGTTCAAATTACTAGTGGCAAAACTGAGTAGTGGGACACAACTAGTAATATAAATGATAAAAATCTTTTTTTTAAGTGTCGCTGTTGAAAGCCTAGAAAACTATAAACACCCAGTCAACCACAAATGTGGTAAATGTGGAATAAGTACAAATTTCTGCAGAATGAGGAAAACTTGGATGTCTCTGAAACTGAACTAACTTTTTTTGGCAAATCCAGAATTATAGGAAATTTTCAAAAAAAAAAAAAACAGCACCAAACTACTTTAGTGACCTAAAACGTCTTACTTTTTTTTTTGAGAATGACTACCCAAATAGTTACACACAGGTGTTACATTCAGATAGCATAAGGCCGCTTAACTGCTCGGGGACGTTTGCAATCAAAAACAAATCATCGTGTTGCCTTGCTCAAGCGGCTAGCTCGTGTGCCAGTTAATTGCATTCCCTGGGTATGTGTTTGATACTGACCGACTCAAAAACAGTCATAGCATCTTTGATCTCGCATATAATCTGAAAGCAGTCCGAGCGATTTGACCTCCCCTTCTCCAGTTCCTTGGCAATCAGTACATTGTCTGTCTCTAATATAATCTTGCCATTAAAAACCGAGGACAACGACTGGAGACCGACCAACATTGCCTGTCCCTCCGCTTCCTCAACAGACCTGCATATCCTAGTCCGGCAACTAACAGACATGAGAGCCAATCCTCTGTGGTCCCTTGCAACAGCTCCAACACAAGTTTCACCAGTTCACAGGGTATATTGATCATGGATATGGTTTCGCTCTCCTAGTCTCCTTTACATAAAAAGGGTGTCTTTGCTGACTACAATCAGTCAATTTGTATGGAGTACTTCATGCTACATCACGAATAGCCCTCTGATCATCACATTTGCAATCATCCAGCCTAGAGTTTGGAGGAACGGGGAAAATGGATATACAATGCGAGCATGCCAGTTCAGGTGTGTTTTGATCATTACCCAATGCATTGGATCCTTTCCATGCAAGTACCTCGGCCTCCCCCTAGGCCTGAAGAAGCCTTCTGCGGCGCAACTAAGCGGTTTGGTGGAGCAGTTGGCTATTCGCTTGTCTACCTGGAAGGCAGTGACCCTGCCAAAGAGTGGCAGTCTGGTTCTGGTCCTATCGGTGCTACGTTCGATACCTATACATGCGATGCTTGCCTTGGACTTGCCGGCGAAGACGATAGCGGCCATGAACAAAATAATCAGAGGCTTTCTCTGGTGCGGCAAAGCCCAGGCTAATGGTGGGCACTGCTCGATGGCTTGGGAGGAGGTGTGCATGCCAAGATGGGCTGGAGGCCTTGGGATTCCGTGTCTCAGGAGGCTCAATGTTGCTATGCAAGCTCGTTGGGCCTGATTACGTCGGGTGGATAGGGATCGACCTTGGGCGGAGTTCAAGCTTGCTCTCCCCAAGGAATCCCTAGCGACAATTGCAGCGGCTATCAAGGTGGCGCTTGGGAACGGGAAGGAAACACTCTTTTGGGAAGATTGTTAGCTACATGGACTGCGAATACAAGAGTTTGCACCTGAAATCTATGAAAGGGTCTCGAAACGAGCAAGAAACACGCGTACGATACACGAAGCCATCTCGCTTGGTTCCTAGACTCGGGACATCAACTCGGACATGGCCTACAGAGCTTTAGTGGATTATCTGGAAGTATGGCAGCGAGTACAAGGGATTCAACTTCAGGTGCAGGTCCCTGACGCCTTTTCTTGGGCTTGGGAACCGAACGGCCAGTTCTCGATACGATCTGCCTATGCGGCAAGGTTCGTTGGTAGGGAGGTGGCACCGATGGCGGATTTTACTTGGCAATCTCAGGCCCATCTGAAGTGCCGCTTCTTCACCTGGTTGGCTATGAGAAACAGATGCTGGACCTCGGACCAGCTTGCCAGACGCGGCCTCCCACACCAGGATGCTTGCCCGTTCTGTGACCAGGAAGATGAAACTATTGACCACATCCTTTTGACATGTGTGTTCGCTAGAACAGTTTGGAGAACTCTGTGCTCGGCCTTAGGAAAACCGCAATGGTCCCCAACAGCCCAAGACACCCTCAAGGATTGGTGCGTAGCAAGAACGTCAAGCCGAAGGAGTTCCGGGCACTTCTCACCCTTGGCCTTTGGGAGCTGTGAAAACACATGAATGCAATTGTTTTCAATGGCGCTTCACCATCACTACAGATGGTAGTCATGCATATCGTCACGGAGGGTAGGGCTTGGCAGCAGGCGAGCTTACTGAAGGGTGAGGTAGATAGTATGTTCGAACTTCTAGTAGGGTGGGCAGGTAGTGAGTAGTCCAGATCACCGTGTTTGCAGGTGGAGCGGTGGATCGTACACTTTGTGTTGATGTTGATGTAACGTTTAAC